CTCTGATCCTCTCTCTGGATCTTTTTTTTTATAACACTAACCAAGCTCAATGAAGCTTAGCAACCAAACCAGTCAAGATCCGCCAAATGTCATCTCCTGTGAAAATCTCTTCTAAAATCAGCAGTAGCAGCCTTCTAGTGCAGAGCCACCTGTGACCTTTCTAAATTTTCTAAAATTCGCCAGCTCCAGCCGGCAGGGCCCATTCGTCAGGGATGCTGGAATTGTCCAGCAATATCGAGGAGACTGCCGACTCTCCAATTCTAGCTGGAGTAGGTGAACTCCCCCTTGCTAAACCCAGATTTCCCCAAATGGGTATCCTCTCAATGGGGTGAATTACTATTCTTGCTAAGCACTAGCTATTCTCGCTTAATGACACTGATAGCTGATCAGATTTATCAGTGTACAAAGCGGGAACGAGAGCAACCTATTGACGGAGACATAAACTAGAGCAGGAGCAAAGGAATGAATGGAGACAAATGAGTGGCGTTCCGTTTCGCTCACGCGACCTCCCGTCTCCACTCGCCCAGGTCTACAGCCCACCGCGCATGCGCACAACACAAATGTTCCTTTCTGATAGCGCATGCGCGTTTTCGGTTCCGTTATCTCCCGAGATACTCGCTCACGATCTTTTTCACCTTGGTGCCGTCTTGGTAATCAGGCGTCGGTCCCCGGCCTTCCTGCACCAACCGCTTTTGGATCCCATCCGCCCGGAGCTGCGCAATCCTGTCCGCCATGATGGCTTCTCGCCCGATTCGGCTTCGAAGTCTTCGTGGGATTGGGATGGCCGAACTTCTCTCGTCTTCTTCCGGATGCGCTCGTCTTTTTCCGTATCCGGTTCTCGGACACATCCGTTAGCTATCGGAAATTTTCGGAAAGACTCGGCCGGAGCGATTGATCGAACTAAAGTGGTAGTTTCCGAATGACGAGCGGACCTCCGGGAATCTCTAGTAAGCCGGAAGTTGGGATGTGTTAATATTATTCGATACTAAATAACATAGAATAGTGTTTCCACTTGGGACAACGTAGTGTTTTTACATGGTCACCACACTATTAAAAAAAAAGATGTGGAGACTCTTGTTTGTACAGGGAAAGTAACTTCACTCCCAATGTTTACACCAAAGATGAAACACCATATTTCATCAAATGATTTTCAAGACTTAACATGGGAAAAATCATGTTTCTGTATTTTTTTAATCCATGAAGTCAATTAGTTCTTCAGCTTCTTCACTACCTATGAATATTGGATTGACACTAACAGTTAATATGATTTTTTAATGCTTATGCATTAGTCTGTTTTACCTTCAATTAAGCCTTCCTCACTTCCATCTATTCAATTGGTATCATAACAATCCATAAAGGGAGACATCAATAATAGCATATAACAATGATTAAAAATTCTTTTTTGCTAGATTTGATTTGTAGGTCTCCTCCTCCTCCAAAAGTATTCTCGATGCAGAACTACCATCAAGCTGCAGTACTTGAAAGCAGAATAAAATGGCACCAGACTTCTGCTGATCTGAACATTACTCTTGATTCATTTTTAAATTAGCTTTTTAAATTATTGTAGCTACACTACATACATGGAATAGCATCTATTCAGAGGTGAGGATGGCCCCAACCTTTTCAGCCTTTCATAAGGCATTAATGTTCCCTCAGACACTTGAGTTTGGAAGCTGAATTAGCTTCTTTGGTGGATTAGTTTGGTGTTTTGTATAGATTGTATATGCAAAATTAAGACTAGGGTTATGCTACGTCAGGTATTATTACTAATTTAGAGGAGTAGTGTGCTTTGTTATTTTTAAACATCTGTGCATCAGACACTGTTGTGAGAAGGCAGCTGTATAATTGTTTACAAAAATATACCCCAAAATATTCATCTCAAACGTAGCTCACTGTATAGTAGTGGGTTTTTTTGAGGACATTTGACATACTAATGTGCAGCTGCTATAAAATAATGCTTAGCTGCTTCTAAGCAATTTTTTTTTGATTGCTCAAATCTCAATTATTTCATATTAAAACCTGCCATATGCAGGTAGATCAAATTCCAGGTCACGTTAAAACATAGGAGACACCTAGCAATAGATTAGAAACATAAAATACTCATTTTCATTGACTACAGTCCTGAATCAGGGCAACTTATTCTAAGCAAGAGTTTTAGAATGGGTGTGTTATATTTTCAGAGCAGGCCAAGAGCCAAGTACTGCATGTTTTTTCTGCATATGTGTCAGTTGGAATTTGTACATCAGAAAAAGACTTGTAGCAATCCTCACAAGTCCAATAGCCCGTTGGCATCTCATATTTTTCAGATAAGAAATCCTTTTGAACAGGAGGGACCACTGTTCTATCTTTTCCATGTCTTGCACAATTAAGAAATGATTCTGTCCCATTCCCCCGCTCCCACATGCCCGAGGCCCTCTTCTATGTAAGATGAAGGTAACCACATAATGGCTAGCTCATGAGCCAAGCCGTATTCCCATCTTAATTATGGGCTTTATGAAAGACAGATATAGCTACATTTCACTAGCTAAACACTCAGCAAAATGAGGAATTGAGGGCCATTCATTTGCAAGAGAGCTGAATGCATATCTACCAAACAATACAATGGAAAAGGACATTGTACTTGGATCTAGAAAAACTCCAGAAAATTCTTACATGTTTTTTGGTTCTTTTTAACTTTAAGTGGACATAAAATCATAATCTCATTACCAGATAGACTTGAAATTTAGAACCAAATGTTATATTCAGCAAGTTTTACGTGCCCATGCTGGTTCCCTATCAGTTTTCTTGTGAACATTGGTGATGTTCTGGGGTAGTGTCGAATTAGTTTTTGAACTCATGCCATGGCAAAAGCTGTATTTAGATGGCAGTATCAGAATTAGCCAAGAAATTATATGGATTACTCATGAAAGGATGATGTTTTGGAGAATCTATAGTATGTGCACTGCTTATGTCACAGAGGCAAATTCAACAGAAAATTAGACTGTGAAGTACCTTATACCATTGCAAACAATGATGCCATCCACCTTTCCTTTTGATATCTGATGCCTTTATATTAGAATTTAATCAGTACTTTGGCTATCAAATCACAAACTGGGCTTCCCAAACTTTCCATTGACAGACAGCAGTCATTGAATGAGATCTTCCAGCAGGCTGAACAGCTCAACCATACAAAAATGTAGTTTCTTCACTATGTTCTGACATGTCAACACCCCTTTGGCACAGTCGTAGTGGCTCAGTAAAATGCTAAAAGTAGAGTTTTGGAGATCCAAAATGTGAATCCCAAATAATGAATAAGATAAACACTGTATAAAATTTAATTTCTGATCATAACATTCCAATTGATGCCTGCATTTGTAAAATGCATTGTTTTGAAGCCCAATGAATGTGAAGACATAGCTTCCACTAGCCTGAACCACTCCTCTCCCCCTAAAAAGCATACTTCTGACAAGATATTTTAAGAATAACTGAAGAACCATTTCTCATTTTATCAGTGAAAAGAATAAAGTCACTATTTTTAAGCACCAGTACATGGGTTTTGGGCTATTTAAACAAAGCCATAGGGCCCCAGACTTTTATAAGAGTCAAGGACTATCATACCACAAGGTCTGGAGAATACATTCAGTTGTCAAGAGCTTACCAGAAAGATATATTCCTGAGTAGGGTTTTAAGACACTAGCTTAATTCTTGAAGCTAACTTAGCCCCTTCAAATTCTAAACAATTTGCCTAATTGCATCTTAGCATGCAGCAGTCACTAGTAGAATTTAAAAGTATTTACTGTTTCTGCATTCCTCATTTCACAATGTAACATACCATGGGTGGTTGTTAATTATCTCTATTTGTTCATATACTTATTCTATCCATAATGCCAAAACCAGCTGGTCTTTTCTAATCCCCCTAAAAAAACCCACCCCATCTTAAATGCCATTTAGAGGTGTTGTAAGGAGTAGGTGTGTGGAAATGTAATCCTTGCTAAATTGCTGGTCATAGTTATAATTATATGGAAGCAACAAACTTTAGCATCAGATAGCTCACAATCTAAATTCCCCACCTACTTACAATTTCTTTGGGGACTGTGACATGATTAAATAAGGATAATCTGTTGTTAAAAATAAAAAAAATGGTCAGAAAAAGGTCTTGTTCTACCAGATAGTGACATAGATAATACAAGAGGAAGGCATGGGATCAATGTCTTACAGTCTATCACATTGGGTAGCTGGTAGGACCATATTACAAATGTATATCATGTCCTCCATTTACACTTACAGCTTTATTGGCATTATAAAATTCTAATAGAATTTTAAGAGCATATTGAATTAACCCCATAACATTCTGCACTGCCAGTAAGTTTCATGATCACATTTTTGAAAAGCATATTTTTTCCAGGCACAACTACAAGGGTAACCTAACCTCTTTTGGAATCTCTTGTACCCAAAGGACCCTACTTCATACCCTTCCTTCCTGGGGCAGAATAGCCATCTTCAAAAAATGGTTATTGTTTAGAAGTTCCACAAGAATGCCAGGTGAAAATCTTTTGTGCCCAAAAGTTTCAATGCTCAGCTTTCAATTGAAATATTGCACAGCATTTAATTTACATTAAAGCTATCCCTATGTGGGATTCTTTATGGGCAGAGTGGGAGAAAAACAATTAGATGGCTTTCTCTCCATAACAACAAAATCTTCCTTTTTTAAACACTTGTGTTGACTTTGGAAGAGCATTTCTTAATCCATACTGTGATCTATTAAAAATGGCACCTGCTTTCAATGGCCATCAAGAGTAAAGCTCCCTCAAGCATTTTGCAGAAACAGTGAAGAGATGACTTCTGAATCTGCTCAGTGGCAGAACACAGGCTCTAGGTGCTTCCTAGTAACGCTTAACCTTCTGTATAGACAAGCAGACTCATCTTTTGGCCTTAATTAAAACAATGTTTAACAATATGTTTGAAAGAATGAAGACTGAGAAATGACTTTCTCCCTGGGTAAGGGGAAAAAAAATTGGTCCACATTCCCCAACTTGATCTAGCAGCTGCAAATAAAATGCACAAGGCCAAACGGAATCCATCTTCTTCCAGGAGCAGCTTATTTCCCTGGCTTTGCAACCAAGTTGCAGTAATACCTGGGTAGTATAGCAAGAACATGAGGGGCAAGAGTATTTCCAACATAGATGGTTTTCCCTGGAGAAAGTTAAAAAAATATCCCCGTTCACAAAACAGTAAACCTCCATTCCATCCTCCACCCCAACCTAAGTGTGGCAGCTTTTTGGCAATTACCCCAATGTTTCAGAGGGAGGAACAGGATTTCCTTTTACTTTTGTCATTAAGTCATGCTCACAATCAAGTCCATTTCCCAAGGTTAAATGATTATTTTTTTTAAAAAAAGAACTGTGTAAGAAATCAACACACTGCCATCATTCTGTGTTTCTGAAGCAGCCACAAAAGGCTGTGGACTCATTGAAATCTCTTCTCTTCCCACACATATCGTTTTCCTGCAGGCACCTTCCGGAAAAACAGGCTGTTGCCTCGGCTCATGTTGCCCTAAATGAGAAGAAAATGAAGCGGGTGAGAGTCCTGTAGACAGAGCATCACGGCCCATTGAAATTCACACACTATACAATAGCTGAGGTTTGAGGGCCAGATAGTAGGCAGTGTGTGTGTTTTTGTGTGTGTGTGTGTGTGTGTGTGTGTAGCAGGGTGTATCTGTAAGCTACTGAGCCGAGGTGGTGCAGTGGTTAAATGCAGCACTGCAGGCTACTTCAGCTGACTGCAGTTCAGTAGTTCGGCTGTTCAAATCCCACCAGGCTCAAGGTTGACTCAGCCTTCCATCCTTCCGAGGTGGGTAAAATGAGGACCCGGATTGTTGTTGGGGGCAATATGCTGACTCTGTAAACCGCTTAGAGAGGGCTGAAAGCCCTATGAAGCAGTATATAAGTCTAACTATTGCTATTGCTACAGTAAGACAACTTTGTCTGGAATTTTTCCTTAGGCGGTAGGTATACCCAAAGGAGGGGCTCTGCCTTATCAATTCTATACCCATCTCTAAGCAAAACATGAGGATCCTGTAAAGAAGGACAAGACATTTCAGACATACCTCCCCATGCAGCTGGCTCCAGCAATGTAACCAGGAGGTGTACGCTGGTGCATAAGGTGGGAGGCCAGCAGCGAGCCTAGAAAATAGAAGGCAAGGCTTACAGAATTCACTCCCCACCGGGTTTCAGTGCCAGGCGCCTGTTTGAAGATCACAGCCCTAGAGGCCATTTCCAGACCAATCCTTTCTTGCTGCACAAGGAAAGGGGATCAAGCAGGAGATGTGGTTGAGACAAAACTCAACAGGTAGTCTGACAGGAAACTGGCCTGCAACTGGCTTCTATATGGCAGAGCAATCTAATAATCAACACATTATTTACAAGAACAGGGACAGAAATAATTTAGCAAATTAGCAACCACAAACTAAACATAGTCATCCCCATTCCATAAAAGTATTTGGAATGCCACCATGAAACTGATTGAATTCTTTATCATAAGAATTAACAAATGGAAATATTTCTTAGCATATTGTTATTGACTTAGGATGCGCATACTCGCCTTATAGTACGTTATACTAAGCTAACCTGCATTTACTTATGAACAGCCACCAAAGTACAGACAAGAGTTAAATGGAATCCGCACACAGGTGAAAGCTCTGTACAGAGGCTATTTGGCACAAATGAGAGGACTGCCATTTTCATAACCTAGCGCTAATTTTACTGCAAGGATCTCACTGGCCAAAACTGAATACAAAACCAAAAAGAACTGATCCCGCAAATTTGAAATTTATCTTTTTATCAGCAAAGCTATTGTCACAGAATAATGTATCACAGGAAAGACACAGAATGCAGGCATTTTCTGGCTCCAGAGTTATTCCTAAAAATGTAAATGTAGATTCCTATTTCATATGATTGAATAATACTAAAGGAAAGAATCCAGACTTCTTTCAATACTTTATATAATATAATGAATTTCTACAAATGTATTGGATTTGCTGCTACCCACAAGTCTTCAAATTTTTTGAAACTCTTAGCTGTTTCTCGAGGCCACAAATATTTTGGTTTTAGGCAGGGCTCTATAAAATGATGGGATTTTGGCCACTGTACTTTTAAATTAAAACCTTTGAGTTCTTTTACTCATCCAAACAGCCTCCTATAAAAAAAATCACAAACTTTTTTTTAGCTCGGTTGGCTATGGTATGAAGTTTCTCAAGAGCAATTACTGAAAACATGAACATTTGTGGTGAGGGAAAATTCTCAATAATTATTGAAAGAAAGAGGCCTGAAAAATAAAACTGAGCTTTGTGTGCTTTCAAATTAAAACCAAGTGAGAGAAAAGAAAGTGTGCACTTACCCGCAGCTATTAATGGCCATTAGGTTTGAAACAAGTACAAAGGGGTAGGTCAGCATACTGCTGAAGAACTGAAAGTACAAAACAGCATGATGTATCAGTGGAAAAAGTATGCCAACACTCTTTCCTCATCCATCAGGCTGAGAACTAGGTAATGTCAGAATTACCACTAACTATGCCCCATACAGAGCAACAGCAACTTGATGGGCTTAACAGAAGGGTAAAATCTTAATACTGATAACAAATCAAAGGAAAGAAAAGACTGGCAATTACTGAGCTAAGCTTCAAAAGTAATCTGTAGCTAGCAACAGCATTCAATACATCTCTAGTGAAGAAATAGTAAATTCCAATGCTGGACAGATTCTAAAGGCTGAAAATTGAACGGTGTTTTTAACACCATTAGTTAAATACCATTCTCTAGCATCCCTCTCAAGAGTACCAGGACCAAAGGTTTAACAATGAGTTATGAGGCTTGTGGTCCTCTCAGAACCTTTTCCCTTTTATCGACACCAAAGAAAATAGACATTAAATTATACACTCACTCCAGTGACAGCCTGAGAGTAACCCTTCATCTCAGTCATGGTAGAGACCTAGAAAGAAGATTCATCAATAAAACACAGATTCCTCAATGACAAAAGTCATTCCCAACTTTTGACCAAAAAGTAAATACAATGCCTCCCAGGAAGGCTTCGGGCTCAAGGCAAGAAGATCCTTCAGTGCATGCAACAGCCTAACTACAGCCCTGCCCACAACTTCTTAAAATCCCAAGGAGTGTTTTCTTAGGGTCACACAGCAGTCACTGAAGGAAATCAGGTTCTTTTAAAGTTCATTTATTTTGCCGCTTGTGTGCTTCAAAAACGACTTTTTGCTTTTGTAATCAAAAGGTGTTGCCTGAGAAAGCTAATTTATCTTCACAAGATGTACTATCATCTACCATATGTGGTGGTCGTGCCAAAAAGCCAAAATATACTGGCAGAATATCCAAAAGTGGTTGATAAAGAGATAACCGAAAAGGAAATAGAATTCCCACCGGAACTATTTCTCTTGGGCATTATAAACAAGAAATACAACAAGGGGCTTATCTTTTTAACTATACATATTATCATGGCAGCAAGAATTTGCCCAAAGAATTTGCCCAAAATTGGAAAAACAAGGAAACTCCACATGAAGGGGAAATAATTAGGAAAATTTTGATCTGCACTGAAATGGACAAATTGATGTGGGAATTGAAGAATAAAGATGAATCCGAATGATCTGGGATTAATTTTATCAATGATTGGAATATAAAAGGGAAAGCCTAAAATAGAATGGAGACTAGAATCATGTATGAAATGATAAAATGCGAGAATGTACAAGATAATCACAAACCAACATGGCTGGAAATAGGTTACTTTTTTTCTTTTTGTAAATAGGGTATGGATCAAATGTTAAAAAAATAGGGTGGCTACAATGTATAACTGAATATCTTAGCATGTATGGCATAGATTCTGCCAGGACAGTCTACACTGTGTCCAACATTTTAATTTATGTTTAATAAAAAACTTTTTAATTTTAAAAAAAAAACGTACTATCGTGTTTCTCCGAAAATAAGACAGGGACTCATTTTCTTTTGACCCCTAAAATAAGCACTTGGCCTTATTTTCGGGGAGGTCGTATTATTTTTGAGGTGCAGGAGGCGGCAAGCGTGGTCACCTCATGGCTGCTGCTGTGAGGCAATATTTGGGGGGAGGGCTTATTATCCAGGGAGGTCTTATTTTCAGGGAAACAGGGTAATATGTATTAGTATTATGTATAGTTGTGAACAGCCATATGTATAGGTTGAGAACAGAAAAAAATATTTGGCTTAGATAATACTTATGACCTGGGGTACATAAAGCATTCTTTGCACAGATCATCCTATGCCTGAAACCAATACTTAATGTTGGTGATCTGTGTCTGCGCCATAATCCAGGTTTTTCATCCTGACACAGAATTGAGAATTGTGTTCTCAACTGTGCTCCATGTGAGGTATTAGGCATCTGGACATCAGCAGTGACATAGCAGCAGCTAAATGGAGGTACAGAAGTTGTGGGAAGCTGCAGGGGTAGACAAGTGAACCATATGAGAAATAGGGGAAAGATGAGGTGTATCAATCTTGCCTTCTTGCCCTGCAAGATTACCTCAAATTTATTTTTGCTAGAGCCCAGAACAAACCTTGAAGTAGCCAATACTAGAAAATTGCAACCAAAAGGAGCCTCAGCAGTCATTGCTGCTTCCTAACTACGGGCATAGGACTCTACAAGAAGAAGGCTTACCCCATTGTCCAGTACATAGTTATTGATGAGGTAGGCCAGCATATTACAGAGCCACAAGGATAGGATGTCTCCAAGAAGGCGGGGAATCAGGCCCCTGAAATGAAAACAGCTGACTAGTAATAAGGTTGGATAACTTCAACACTGACATGACGACAGTTACCACTAACTGCTCACATGACAGGAAACTGGTCAACCATGTGCAAGACTAGGCTGAGTAACACCCAGAAAAAAAATTACCCATTTCTGCCACCCACTTTGATGCATATGTGGTGCATTGCTTAACAATTCTGCCTCACCTAATCCAGCATCCTAATCCAAACTCCCACAACATCCAATCAGATGCCTTCTGAAAGCAAGCAAAGAATAGCCCTTCTCCAGTAACTAATACAATATGCAGTGGCATATTGTGCTCATCCTTAGAAAATCCTACCTGATCCTTGCACTAGCTTTCATGGCAACAAAAAATAATAAAAAACCATCTTTAAAAAGTACTCACGCGAAAAATCCACAGATTCCCTCTTCCCGGTATATGGTGACGAAAGAGCTAAATACCCCGCTGAAAATTGAAGGGAAAAAACGATCCATCAAGATTCTAAAAATACCGTAATATGTTATTTCCTTTCCCTCAGTCTATTATTAATCTCAACAACAGAACACTTCTGACATCATACATTAATTTATCTCCCAGCCCTCAGTTCCTTCCCTTGTGTGGGTTAAAACCCCAATGAAGCCAACCTCACTGTAAATATGTGTGTACCTGTATTTGGTCTCTCTGCCAATGAACTGCACCATACACCTCAAGGTGATCACTAAAGAACAAGGAGAGTCAAAAGGAAAAAAAAAACTATTGTTAAGGAAGACCTCACCTGTATTCTTCTACCCACTTATATGGCAGTGTATAATCCCAAGATTCTTAACTCAAGATGAACCCAAGTAAAATGGCTATGCCCCTGAATGGTACAACCAATCTGGTAAATGCGTGCAACATTTGGGTTGAAATAGAGCTGCTTTTGAAAATGTCAGGCTCAGCATCTAGGATTCTTTTGGATCTGAAATAATCGAGTTTGATTATGGCCAAGATTGTTTTTGCTCAGCTGAGGCTGGAATGTCAATTACAGCCATTCCTGCAGATAGCTCATCTGGCCACAATGATATCTTCCTGAATTAAACTGTATGAGGTTTACTGCAGTAGCATTTCACAATTCTTAGGAAATAAAGATTGGATAAAATCCCGTAGCCAAGGTCTTCTGAAGTGCTGCATGTGGGAGGATACAAAACTCTTATAGAATCAGCTACTCTGGCTCAAAGTTCAAAGTGCCATGAGAAGAAGTCTCTTTCTATGAGAAAAAACTTGAGATTAGGACTACCATGCTCAAAAGAACTACCCAATACGTCCTGCCTATCTTTTGAAGACCCACTTGCATATTGGCACACACTAGAAACCCATTTCACTGAGGCTGAGGGGAAAAAGGGCCTTTCCATCAGCTGCACTCCTGGTTCATCCTCCCCAGTTGGGTTCCTCTTGTTGCCTTTCTTCAAAGGAGGTCCTCAAGCATGGCCAGAGTCTTGATTTGATTGTTATGGGTTTGACTGTTATGGTTACATTTGTGTGTTCACAGTAATTTAACTTGGTGATGGTCCCAGTGTATTTGATTGCATGGTGGTTTCTTAACACTTCACTTTGCTAGTTAGGCTCATGAAGGAAGGTAAGGTAGAAATGTTTCCAATTAGTTCATTATCAATCACTACCAACTGTTTGCAAATTAAAAGCAGTGAAGTGGTAAAAACATAACAGGGAAGGGTTAGGACACAGCCATCTCCTGCCTTAATGCACAGCCAAAAAAAAAAACCCCAAAAGGGGAGAGAGTTTCTTCTGTATCTAGGAGTTACAATGGCATGATTGAAACTGACTGAAAGATGAATCTATACATACCATGAAATGGGTGGGTGACTAGCGTAGCAGCAGAACGTGCAATCATCTCTTGAGAAGTCTAAGATGAAAAACAGTTGGAGACATATCAGAAGAAAGGTTAGCCAAAAAAAGAGCAAGATGTCCCATCTACCCAAATTCCAGTAAAGGATTAAATAATTGCTTCATAATATAATTTAAAGTAGTAAGATTAAACGTTTTCATCAGTTGTCATTGCTCTACAGATCAACCTATTTCAACCACCTTTTCAGTTACTTAAGAAAAAAGTTATTGCCCTGCTAACACCTTAGACACATCCCAATATGCTATGTACCTCAAATATATCCCAGTACGTCCCATATAAGGAATTTCAATGAGCAGGATCAAGGAGAAGTGCCTTTTCTGCTAGGGATCCCCGCCCTGAGAAACACTCTACTACTGAAGATGAAAACTGCTCCCGCCCTCTGACCTTCCCAGAAAGGTATCAAAACTTAGTTTTGCTGGTTGGCCAGGGCTCCGAGGGGATAGTCACCCCTGGGGGGGATTGACAGGGTAAGCAGATCTCATCCCCATGCTGTCATTTTCCTTGCTTCCAGTTTTTATATAGCTTTTAAATAGCGCTGACTGGAGCCAGAATGTTATGACAGCAAAGGAACAGCTCACTTCTATACTTTCCTATGTTAACAAGATATTCGTGCTTCTCAACTTCATTATGATACAATCTATAGTGTAGGCAAACAGGCTGTTGCCTCACATCTCCTGCTTTCAAAAACAACAGATTACCATTCCAATTATCCACCAGCCAACACATTTGGCAAGTGTCAGGCCAGGAATGCTCTTCTACATGATGCACAGCCAGCCAATCTCCTGATAAATGAATCCCATATCTTACCTCCTTGATAACTTGATCGAAAGAAGATCCAGATTCTTTGTGAGTATTCCCTACTTCCTAAAGAGAAAAGGGAGAAAAAAGCCAGTCTCAAAAACCACCTGCTACGGGATCCTTAATCCCAAGTATAATATCAATTTTATTTACAAATTCTGTGGAGCCTTCCACTCCCATAGACTGAAGTATAAAACATAGACATGCTCCAAAAACTTTAATTTCAAAAATGGGTTTTATTGGGAAGTTATTTATGAAGGGACTTCATGACATACCTCACTTTGGTCAGAGTTCTGGCATTGCTAGACAGAAAGAAAGTATATAAATATAAGCTCATCTTCTCAATCTTTTATTACCATTAAATGTACATAATTGCACTTACATTCTTTCCCACCCTCCTCCTGAGGTTATTTATTTCAGTGGCAAGATCTGTAAATCAGATTACACTGGCCTATACATTCTATATACTATATATATCCATCTATATGCAAGGTTTTGATAAGGCAATTTTTAAAAAAAAGTAGGTAGGTAGATAGAGGGATAGAGAGGGAGAGAAAGAGAGAAATACAGTAGGTAGGGAAAGAGAGAGAGTAATTAGGTAGATAAAGGGGGAGAGAGAGAGAGAGAGGGGGAGAGGGAGAAATACAGTAGATAGGTAGATGTTTCTGCTGGCACAGCACTTAATCAATGTAATTCTCATCAATCAGTTAAAGAGATTTCCAAAAGGAAAAAAAAATGTTTTTGCACTCTGCAAACCTCCCAATAACGGCCTGTTTTTCATGAAAACAGCCCCCTTTTTTTCTTCAAAAAAAGGCATGAATAGCTTTTGGGCCGGGGGGGGGGGCTTGCAGAGTGCTCCTGGCGGGGTGGAGGGCAAAAACGAGAAAATAACGTCCCATTTTTTGTCAAAAAAAATTGCATGCATAGTCTTATAGAGGCTTATACAGTGCTGCTGGGGGAGGCACCCCCTTTTCTGCTCTCCCCAGCCCCCAGGAGCTCTCTGAAAGCCTCCATAAGGGTATGCACGGTCATTTGGTGAAGTGGCGGGGCTTCGAAAGGCAAAAAATGCTGCATCTGGTGTATAAAACGCACCCAGATTTTCAGCCTCTTTTTTGAGGAAAAAAGGTGCGTCTTATACTCCGAAAAATACGGTACATATCACTAAAGCACCAAAGGCACCATAAACAAGAATTCTAAATTCAACACATAGCTTACCCAGTCAATGGAGAATGGAAACACACAAACTCTGTCAAAATGTAAATCTGACATAACAGTTCAGTGTCTGAGGAAAAGTAGGCTGTTGAGGCACCCCTAAGGTCTTAAGTGCAGGTGAGTCACCAAACACCTATATTTTAATCACAATGACCCCAGGAGCACTGCAACAGCTGTAACTTCAGAGACTGGGCATAAGTACCATTTGATCAGCACTGTGGTAACTTCTAATGGTCACTCAATGAATGGTTGTTAAGGGAGGACTTTGGGTTTTCAGTGATAATTCCTGCAATAAGAAATTATCACTTCGTATTATTTACAAAATTCAAGCAAAAATGGTCTACATTATAAAGTATTTGAAATCTGAAATATTTTGTATATTAAAACAGTACACAACAAAATTATAAAGTACCTGTAAAACTTTACTGTGTACTACAGTGCCAATGGCTCCTGACCAGAGTCTAGGAGCCAAACCTTTGAAGAGTCCAGCCCTCCCATCAATTTTCATAATGTGTTTAGCTGAAAACAGAAACAGAGGTAAGCATCTGTCCAATTATTCACCCTTCTCCCCCAAGTGCCACATATCTGAATCTATCTCATCTATCTTAGAAAATGCTAGTTTAATTCTGTTTAATGCCAGGTTAGAAAATTTGAAATTAACCACATTCATGTCATTCAAGTATGCATTGGCTGCACATAACATCTGCAGGCAACAAAATCATGTTATGTACTAGTCCTTACCAGACTCTATTATCCACTATAGCAAGGATGAGCAGTCTGGAGCTCTCTATCAAGTCTCAACTCTTATTACTCTGACCAGCGTTAAGGAGTAACAAGAATTGTAACCCCCAAACATCTGGAGCCTCATCATCTTGTTCTCCCTACTCAATGGTTACATACAAGTATGCACTAAAGTTAAAAATAAGTGGTTGCTCTGAATAAACATAGAAAGAAACAACAAATTAGGAACCTGATGGAAATTCATTAGAGAAATGCATGAAAAAAATCAAATCATGAACAGGCAACCAAGTGAGCCCCAAAATAACCCAAGACTAGAAACCTAGAGTTCAAAAGAGATATTCTATCTTCACATTAAAAAAGAATTTTTAAAAGGTTACTGTATAAGTTGCACACTGGGGGGGAAATGTGACATTGCTATAATGGGCATATGTATTTCTTAAAAAATTAAAATATGGTGCTTGAACAGGAAGAAATGTTGACAAAACATTTACTAAGAAAATACTGCTTAGTAGCTGGAATTCAAAAGTGACACAGTTTTGACATCCTTTTTAAATATCCAGTTTAGATATGCATCAAATTCAGTTACATAACTATCTAATTCTTTTCTTCAAAAGTTGTCTTTTGCAAAATCTAACATATCTGATAAAAGTCTAGTTAAAAGGCATGCATTTCTCACATCCCACTGTGTTTTAGGCTTTTTATTTGCAAAATATATATGTTATATACTCACCATAAGCAAAGAGACCAGGCAGTTGATAGACTTTCCGACCAAAAATATTTGTTCCCAGAGTTGGCGGGAGGGGTTCATATCCCACCTGAAATAGACAATCCACAATGAACTTTATAGCCTACAATTTGAACACCCTCTGAAAGATACAGACAACATGCATTTCACAGCATTAACACAATTATTTCATTAACAAGAAGTTCCTTCTTATACCAGTGCTAGAAGTATCAATACCAAAAGCACGATTTTGATTAGTTGGTTTTGATTTTTGGAATAAATGACCGGTACTGAGATAATCTGCAATTCAATATATTGGATAATGACATTGTTTTTTACTATATAATAAATTTAGAACTATAGTGCAAATATATGTCATTCCCCACCAGCAATCTTTATCTTCCTTAATTTCAAACAAAATCTAACCACTTATCACTCTTTTGCAGTATTTTGCTATTAAGATTTAATTACTTAAAACAGAAAATTTCCCTTAACATATCCTGCTACCTCAAATTATGCCGACTAGGATGGTTAATTTATCAAAAAATTAGGTAGTTAATTCTTAACTGAAACTGCTTTGGTGATTCATTGATTGATTTGCTAGGAGCATGGCAAACGCACACATTCAATTCACAACATAAATTATTTAGATCTTCAGTTTAGCAGAAAGTATTATTGGCAAGCAAATATCAAGTTTTCTGATTTCTCATAGTATAAGTGTACTCCTCATACAGAGGATGTTTTCCATACAAAAAAAGCCAGATATTCGCCTGGCTCTGAGTGGCCCTTGTTGGGCAGTTATATAATTAACAAGTCTCATTGCTCTTTACAAATGTTAAGGTTCAAAAGTTAAAGGTTAAATTGCAGGGATTCATGTATTCATATCCTGAAAATGCAGATACTCTTTTATAGCTAGTAGTTTTATAATTAGAAGTTCTTTTTCTGAAAGCACATTGTACAGGAAGACTGTTGTTTTTACAAAACTATGGTTTTCAGCCAAGAATGAAATAAGTATAAGGACACCACCAGCCAGAAACAACCACCAATGTTACTAAATAAAGAAGTCTGAAATTACTGAGTTTGTCTGGGAGTGTCCTTGACAAGGCCAATAAAAATAAGACAGACTTAAATATGAGGTTCATATAACACTAGAAAAGTGATTGGAATTTTGAAAATAAGCTCACTTGCAAGGTACCCGAGTGGGACAAACAAATTTGAAACTGGCTTCTGCAATGAAGGCTGTCCTGTGGCTTACAGTGGGACTTTTATTCCTGCAAGAAATTAAACCAAGCGTGGGCAGCAAACGAGAAAAGCGCAGCGTCCTGGATATGATTTCGACTTTGTTGTGTTATGGGGATCGTCTGCGAATCCCACTGCTAGCACTCAACCTATATGGCTGCCACTGTGGAACAGGCGGCTTTGGAAAGCCTCTGGATGCGGTGGACCGCTGCTGTTTCTTGCACGACTGCTGCTATCGCCACACCAGGCTCTCTCTGAAATGTCACAACAGAGTAAAATGGCAGCGCTACAAACTGCTGTGTAAAACATCCGAGACGGAGTGCCGGTCCAAAAGCATCTGTGGCAGAACGGCGTGCGAGTGTGACAAGCAACTGGCCGAATGTCTCACGTCAGCGAAACCTCAGCGGAAGCATTCTTTCTACAAGCGACAACTCTGCCAAGGGTCTAAGGGCAGCACCTGTCCCATCATGCACCATAACTGGACTAGAACCCTGCACTAAGTTAAGTTCCTGCTAGTTCCTTTACTTTGTTGATGAGCCCTTCGGCCACAAGTTACCTGATCGCAAAGCAAAGGTTCTTGGAAAAATTTAAGCTCTGAGAAAAAAAACCTAGCTGTGGCTCCAGTTTCCCCCCATCTCGGACAATATTTGTGTTTCTAGGCAAGAGGAAGAGATGGGGGAGGGGGCTCCGAATAGAAGAGGTGGGGTTGAGACGATGGGGAAGAGCTGGATCTGCGTCCTTCACCAAGCGGCGGCTTCTTTACTACTTGCAGGTCGGCGACTATATATATATATTCACACGGGAACAAGAGAAGCGTGATCGTTCCAAGCGGAAGGCAAATAAAAGGCCCGGAGACTTGGGGGGGGGGAGGTGGTCCTGCTACGGCGAGGGTCGACAACGACCCAGAGAGAAGAGCGGTCGCCGGAGAGGAACCACCGCGGAGATTGCGAGGGTTGGTCATGAGGTCTGACCGGGGTCCTCCCCGGGCGTCCCCGTTCCCCCCTCCCCTCCCTCCTTCTCTCGCTCTCGCACGAGGAGGGGCCAAAGGTCTCACCTGCACTAGCACCTTCACGTACATGAGCGGCTGCGAGAGTACCGTGAGGCCGGAGCCCAGCAGCACCTGGGAAGTCGTGTCCGCCATGCTGCAGCCGCACCGGGCTCTCCGCCACGGGTGGGGGTGGGGGTGAGGCAAAGAGAGGAGGAAGGGGGTACAGCGGAAGGAGGAGTGGTACGACCACGTGACCTGCGGCGGAGGACAAAAAGGGGAAAAAAGGGCTCCTGCCGCCGCTTCTTCTGCGTTCCCTCTTTCGATCAGTTCCGGGTCTAAAGGGTTCCGGTTTCCGCCACCTGAGGAGCAAGTTAGGCCCGAAGAAGAAGAGTCGCCGCCGCCTATAAAATCAGATCTTCCGATTTAAAAAATGTGGCAAATCGTCCTTGGCCCAAGATTCCCAGGATCGAATTATAAATCCGCGTTGAAAGGTGGCTCGGGGACGATGATGGCGGTCGGCTGGGCGAAGTTGGCGTTTCTTATCGACCTGGCCTCGCCTTTTGAGTTGCGCAACTCGCACTTGAAAAAAGTCTCCATCGGCCAATGAAAATCAGGGCTTTTTGCGGGGATCAAGAGGACCGTGTCTCTCCCGTGCTCTCCTTCCAGTTTCGAGCGGTGCTCCTCTGAGGTTTACGGGCCACTTTAAATCCAAATAAAAAAATGCCTTGTGACGATTGCCCTGCCGCAGTTTAAGGAAACAGAACGGATTGCTTTCTGTACATTTTGATGTATGTGAAATGACTATTTGGTAGTTAGAGAAGGCAACAGAAATGCCTTCTTTTTTGACTGTTACCATTCTTGTTTATGTAAATCTGGCTTACGTATTAGGAAATCCCTCATTAGCATTTAGTTCAGTCAGATTATGGTATTTAAAGTAAATGTGCGCAAGATTACAATGGGAGTGACCTAAACCTAATTTACCAACATTTACTGTTGATGTTCTGTGCGGCTTTCAATAGTATTTTTGGTTTTCTAAAGATTACTGTATTAAATGGCTTTAGAGGCCAGCTATATACCTGCAGTCAAAAATATTATTGAATTCAAGCAGCTTTAAGTCAGAAGAATATTGTTGCTTTAAATTCACAATACATATAGGTTTTGATAGTTTGTCATTCAGACTTTCCTGCCCTCTCCATATGTTTCTGGCATATTTCACTATACAATCCAAACTAGTTGGAAAAATCCCTGCCTTTTAATCTGGATTTCTTGTGCAATTATGGATCTATCTGCAGTAAATATTAGATCCTTTTACTCAACATTCATTTTTTTATTTCTCTCCCCTTTCTGCTCTGAAGAGTAACCCAGTAAGAAAATCATTCTTTAATTACATCATGCCTAATACTTCACGAAAAATATGCTGTTTTCAGTATAGTAGCAGAACAATTCTTTCTACATCAGGTGTCAAATCTGCGGCCCATGGGCCAAATGTGTCACACACTGGCCACACCCACCCCTGGTTTAGCAAAGGGGGGAAAAGTGATATGTGATGTGACGCTATTGGATTGACACCTCTGCTCTACATCACTCAATCTGAAAAAAACTCTTCCCAACAAGATGACAATAATGAAAATTGCAATGTTGTGTGTCAAATAGGTTTCTATATGGGATACAAAACATATTAAAAAGCCATTATCAAAGATGTGCAACTTTGCAGAAAAAAATGGATGGTTGACAAATACTTCCTTTGGCAAAAAATACACGCTGACACAAAAAAAAAACCGTAAGAAAATTGAACGATTGCTATGCATGGTCTTTTGCATGGTGATCCATTTAATTCATATTAGATATATGGCTCTCTTCTCTACATGCACCCTATTAAGAGGCAGGCTTCAATGTACAGAAAATAGACTGAATTCTTTTCATTATCTGTAAATGAGGACATCTGTAACTGACAAGTGATTTCAAGAGCTATATACCATTCCAGTGGAGTTTTTTATTTTACATCAATGAATAGTATCCATTTTAAAATAAATAAAAGTGTTCAATAATATACAGTAGTTTCCTGGATTTTATTAATTATTGGGGGTGTTCATCACAGATAATAGAGGAAACTGAGTGAAACATCCTCTCCCCCCCCCCCAATTCAGATAAAATACTAAAATGGAAGTGGAATGTTCTAAAATGTGCATCAAAAGAGGCCAGCAGAGTTGCTTTTTGCTAAGGACAATGAATACATATTGACTAGCATAGGAAAATCTACACTAATTCGTAAAAATAATTGATTAAACATTCATAAAACAGCAAGATACACTTAAGGGGTGTTCAGTAAATTTTATCAATGTTAAGTTCATGAAAACAAAAACAGTTACAGCATTCTAGGCATTACATGACGACATTCTGCACAAATTGTACTGCTTTGCAGTCTCATCACTGGAATAAAGTGGTGTTACAACATGGAAAAAGTAAGGGACTTTACTCTGACATCTCCAATTAGTATCAAGGAGGACTGTTTCACTTTGACAAGCTACTTAGCTTCAATAGAAAAAACTCTTTAGCCATACATTTCTACAAAAACCAATGAAGTGGCTTTGTTGCAGTGTTTCATTCTACTCAGCCCATGTGAAAGTGAGACACAGAATTTCTATACTTTATGAATATTTTGTTCATTAATCTTTTTCAAGTTCTGTGTTTTCCCTTATTAATCAAATTTATAATTTTACAGTAGTACTATTTACTATTAAGGACTAGTAATGGTCTAATTATAAAGACAAATAACAAAAATAAGGCAACTTTTTTTAAAGAACATAAATTGGTATTTAATTAAGATATGATTGAAAACTTTGCTTTTGGAAAAAAATTCTAGAAAATATTTTCAAGAATGTTCATTTTGTCAATAGGAAAAAATAACCAAGGATGCCAAATGTAATCAGATATTTAGGTTCTTTGTGTGAATTAACTTAAATTTGGCTCATAAATCTTTTGTATCTTTTAGTTGCTATTATACTGTTTTTCAGTGAAACATATAAATGACTGTTAGACAAGGCTTATTATGTAAAGTTCCTTAATCTGTAACATGAACAATACAAAAGTAAAATAATATTTCTGATACAATTGTGTATTTTTCAGCACTGTACCTATAATTTGTCATTTACGTTGTTTAGGTTTTTTTAATAACAGAACAAAACCTAGACTGAATAAGTTTCAAAATCTTTTAACCTTTGTAAGTCACATACAAACTTCATTAATGTTACACAAAATCCGTAACAAAATACAAGTTCCGATACATGGCTTCAGTAAATATACTTTAACAGAGATTTAATTAATTTCGCTCAACTTTAAGAACATAAACATTATTTTATGATCTCTGCATCCTCAGCACATTTTTCTGAATTCTAATGTATGCACATGTTTTCTTTTTTAATTATGAGCTAAAGCAATAATGAGAGTTCAAATCTATCAGTGTACTCCTAAGAAATAGGGGAGTGATACATTCACTCAAAGGATAAAAATGCAGTAACAGTCTCGCTTGCTTTTTGTGCATTGTAGCAATAAATGAACAATAAAACTGAGTTTCTAGAATTTGCAATTTATCCTTCACCATAAAAAGGAAAACCCTGTGCATACATTACTTAGGCATAATATTTTTCCTACTAGAAAAGAATTGAGTGACATTCTGTTGCAGATGAGGAAGTTTTCTAAAGCAACATTTGCCAAAGTAATATGAGTTCAGTGGTGGAGGAGGTATTTGTAAGAAGAATCAAGAAGGAAGGACACTTATTTTTCTTTGAGCTGATTTTGAATCTCACTAGGGAGCAAACTTAATATAATCAAGAGGAGATGAAAAACTTCCAATAGGTTCATGAAGTTTCCTGCTGACAATTCTTGGTCGCACAAATCTCCCTCCACACATAGCCCTCTTTATTTCTTAGCAGCAAAACAAATAGATGGAAAATCTGTATGCAACTTCTCTTAAGATATTAATGGAGGAGGAAAACCCTTGTCCTTCATAACAGTTTGCAATTAATCTGTGGAAAGAAGAGAATTCTTCTTTCATACTTAAGGCTCCAAGTTCTCATTCACTAAAGATGTCTTTGCACTAAAGTCTAGTGAGAAATAACCAGAACAGGAGACTGCCTGTTGACTGCCTGTTTTCCTATTGACCAGAGGTAAACTCAGTGTAGCTTATTAAAAATTCATGGTTTCATGGTTCCTGGTAGACAAACCTAAAGCCTTGAATAGTTTCTCTGCTATCTTGTGATGAATATTTATGACCGATTGCTTTTGGTAGTCCCTTGGTATTGGCACCGTATTCATTCTCGGTCTTCAGAAGTATGGGGTCAATTTGGAAAGGCTTCCATATGAATTCTCGATGAGGAAGAACCTGTGACCTGCTTTGACTCAAGTGCCACCTAGGTCTATTGCTTAATAGAACCTGAGATTTCAAGGAGAGACTTCGACGTAGCATTGAAGTCACAGAAGGTACTTCAGGGTGCCACCACAAGGACCTAAACAGGAATCGGGAGGGGGGGAGTGTTAAATAAGTTTATGATCATAAAAAAACAATACATAACAATGTTTTTGAATAGATGGCACGTAGTTCCACCAATCCAGTACACTTTACAGTTGTTCCATCTTCCTCGTCAATGGATATTTTTAAAGGGTAGAACAAATGCTGGGAGCATTTCCTCCACCTTTTTGAAGTAGAGTCTCAAAAGGATTCCAGTTTCCTCACAGAAACTATGGTATTGATGATTAGACTGTTTAATGATTCACAATACCTTTCACTAATTATGGTTTGTCCTTAGGGAGAAATATAGTTAATCACTTTTTCTTCTGGGGAGTAGGATTTTGAAAAAGAAAATACAGTAGTGAAAGAATGATGGAAAGAAGAAATACATTTCCTATCACAACTACTGGGTAAATATATTATTTAAAAAAACAGAAACTCAGAAGCACAACAGTATCATAGAATGGATGTGAACTTGATGCTTAGGAATTAAAAATGGATGTAATGTTTAATGTATTTCTTCAGGTGCTGAATAATGTGATGTCTATATAAGCACACAACAATGTATGCAGTAAATATTCTGTTCACCATGTCTGAATTCTAAGAACTGAAACATAACTGTAATTGGTGAATGATGATGTACTCTTTCATAAATAATCTCCCTTAAAAAATATTTAGGGTTGTAGGATGGCATCTACCATTTAAGCTTAAAATGCAAAACATGTTGCAAATTGTCAAGTGCAAGAAACCTGGAACGGTTTAGTTCAAAGCACTTCAAGTTTATTACACATATAGCAAGAAAAATATTGAATTATAAAACTAGCCTTTGCTGATCTAAAATCAGCAGTTTTCAGAAAGTTATTATTGAACTCAATAGATTTTATAAATCATCATGGGATTTTATTAATAAACCTATTTAATTTTCAATTGGTCTTGGCCAAATGTCAGAGGCATCACATATTCTTAAATTGCCTGTGGGATAATATTGTGGGATGCCAACTGACATAACTTGCATTTTCCACCCAAATAATAGGGAATTGCTTTCTCTCGTTTAGGGCTATATATAGGGACATTAACCTAATGGATATTCTCTGCATGACTTCCATCCCTGAGTATCTATAGAGAGAGAATATACATATTATCCTCTTAAAACATAAGAGCTTGTTCACCACCATTTTCCAAAAGTCTGCAAGCCTGTTCAACACAGCAGCAGCTCTGCAAGGAAGAAGAAGAATTTTATGGTGATGGAGGAGTGTGATGGGTACATGTTGAACAGGCACATTTGTTTCATGCTTAAGTGTAAGTGAGGAAAGGACAAAAGAATCTGATGAACAGCAGTGGTTACTGTACATCAACAGCATTTCTATTCAAAGCTAAATACCTAACTTCAAAGACACACATCAAACATGGAGCATTATATCAAGACAATATTCATTTTAAAAAGTGTTTTAACTATTGAGGATTAGTGTCTGGGGCACACACCACTGCCATTTCACTAAACACTCATTGTAATCTCCAAGAGTTGGGAAATTGGAATACCTGTACCGTTTGACTCCAGGGCAGGATGATGGAAGAGAGGTACCTGTAGAGAAACAAAAATATGTTTTGGAAAAACATCCGCAAAATAATAAAGTAATAGCAGATCTTTTTTTCCTAAGAGCTTTTTCTCTATGTAGATGACAAGGGTGCAATGTTTATAATAGACCAGTTTCTGCACTTACATAGCCCATGGTACAGAATTGGTGTCTGAGTGGAATTTTAATTAAAAGGTCATGCTTTACTCCAAACTTTGCATTTTTTTAAATCTATTGAAATCTTTAATTAGAATTAGCCCAGGGGTGAAATTCAGCAGGTTCTGACAGGTTCTGGAGAACCGGTAGCAGAAATTTTGAGTAGTTTGGAAAACTGGCAAATACCACCTCTGGGTGGGGAGTTTGCAATATTGTTCCCCAGGAGTGGGGAGGGAATGGGGAGTTTACAGTATCCTTCCCCTGCCACACCCACCAAGCCACTCCCACAGTTTTGAATTTCACCACTGCGTTAGCCATACTTCCAGTAATTCTTACATGTTCCACAGAATTTGCTAGTCTTTTGGCATATGCAGCTTTTCATACCTGCATCCTGTTTCCCATTAAGTTCTCCATTGGAATGCTCATAAAATGGAGCAGGAAGCTGTTTGATGGTTGTTGTTGTGAAGCTGTTTCGCTGTATTGGTGATAGAGGAATCGTGGATATCAGGAGGGGGCTAGGATTCTTGATCCTGAACTCACATTCAGTCAGGGGAACAATCTGTTTTCCTTTAGGAATCTCTATATAGCAGATATTTTGTAGAAAGCACATATCAAGTGAAAGGATCTCAAAATTCTTTAAAATATACTTTTCTGGAATCGGAACAACTATTACCTATTCACTTTAATATGTTCCAAATGAAGTACATTTGCATAGATATTTAGTGGCTCAACAGAATACAGCAGTCTTTTTTGTGAGATCTGAACAATGTTACACAATTGGCAGTCTTGAAAGGATAATATTTTACCTTTTTTTGCCCTGCTTTGTCACAGGCAAAATGTGATATTTAGTACTGAACACATTAAACATTATCTCATGCCCAAGGTTTAGAAGGAATATTTCATATCTACAATTGTTTTCAAACACAAAAACCATAATTTCTAAACTCAAATCTATAAATCATACCATGGCACTCTCACTGGATTATTATAATTGAGGTTTGAGGTCACATTATTCCCAAGATTTTTATAGAATCTCTATTTTGAACCAGTGGAAAAAAGCTTCAAGGCAGGATTTGTACTACTGCCAGCATGTTAAACCACGAGCCGTGGTGGGGCATTGGTTAGAATGCAGTATTGCAGGCTAATTCTGATGACTGCCAGCAGTTCGGCAGTTCGATTTTCACCGGCTCACATTTGACTCAGATGATTCAGCCTTCCACCTTTCTGAGGTCAGTGAAATGAGGACCCAGATTGTTGCAGCAATATGCTGAGTCTGTAAACTGCCTAGAGCAGGGTCACAGTGGTGTCATGTGACATATCAGGACTTTTTTCCACTTCACTAAACCGGGCGTGGGCATGGCCAGTGCGTGATGCATCTGACCCACAGGCCGGGAGTTTGACAGTCCTGGCTTAGAGAGAGCTGTAAAGCACTATGAAGTAGTACATAAGTCTAAGTGGTATTACTATTGCTACTAAATGCTCTCGAACAATAATAGTCACTTCATTTTGAAATGTGTAGCGACAATTTTGATAGGAGTTTCATATAAACAAGATGAATTTTTCATTATACATGTAGGGCAGTGGTTCCCAAACTTGACAACTTTAAGACTTGTGGACTTCAACTCCCAGAATTCTCCAGCCAGCAGAGCTGCATGGAGAATTCTGGGAGTTGAAGTCCACAAGACTTAAAGTTGCCAAGTTTGGGAACCACTGATGTAGGGTGTTAGTAGCTGGGATAGTGCATTCCCAGCATACCTAACAGTATACCAAGATAAATATCTTACCTTGACACTTTTGACAATTACTTGTGTTTTCTCCCTGCAAAAATAGAGTCTGAATTACCCAGATGGCCTTGTATCAGACAAATGTATGTCTTAAGTCTCTACTTTTCTTATGTTACAAATATATTTGCTGATAATGATTAATTAACATTAATTGCCTTTTTTGAAGTTCTTTACTGTAGAAATAATGGCAGGTTTGAAATAGTATTTGCAATGTTAAAATTGGAAATAAAGTTTTAGACATCTATATTCAAAGATACAAAAATATTTATATGCCTTACATAGATTCAAATTTATTAATTTTGCATTCTAATGGAAAACTTTTCTAGTTGACTACTTCTAACCAATAAAGCTATGTTTGACTCAGTGGTGGGTTTCAATTTTTTTTAGAACCTATTCTGTAGGTGTGGCCTGTTTTGTGGGAGTGGCTCGGCTGTCATGTGACTGGGTGGGCGTGGCTTGGCAGTCATGTGACCAGGTGGGTGTGGCCATTGGAAAATGTGGTGAAACTCACTTAACAACGCTCTTACTTAGCAACCAGAATTTTGGGCTCAATTGTGATCATAAGTTAGCTTCCTTCCTTCCTTCCTTCCTTCCTTCCTTCCTTCCTTCCTTCCTTCCTTCCTTCCTTCCTTCCTTCCTTTGTCTCTCTCCCCCGCTTATTTTCTTTCTTTCTCTCCCATCCTTCCTTCTTTCTTATCTCTGTCTCCCCAACTTTCTTTCATTCTCTCTCTCCCT